CAGCCTCTCTTGTATTAAGCTGCAGTAATGTGCAAATGTCCATACTGTGGGATCAATAAAGTTGTATCTTATCTTATTTTATCTTAAAAACAGTTTTTAGTTGTTAGATAAGTGTGTTTTTGCTGTTAAACTACAAATATGGCCGAACGGGGTGGAGTCGAACGCTCAGCGACCTGGAGGGGGCGGGGTGTGAAATATCTCATTTATATTTAAAGAGACCACACCAAAACAGCTTGCTCTGAGGCGCATCTTAGAACAGGGGTAAAGCAAGGAGTCTGTGGAGCAACAAAAATGAGGAATTAAGACCAAAGCATTGCAGTTTTATTTTAAATAGACCATYAGTGAATGATTTAGACYTGAAAAAGAAGGATTTAAAAGCATGATATGATATCTTTAAAGTAGAAAACTGGGGTTTTGCTCTTCAGAGATGAATGAACCAATTGGCGGGTTGAACTTTTGTCACTAGCAGGCTGCCAGTTGAATCGCCCTCTCACACACCCCTCTCCTTCTCCTGTTCTCCAGGTTCCATGTTGAAGGTGAACCCTGAGGAGCGGCTGTCAATCACAGAGGTGGTGAACCAGCTGCAGGAGATAGCAGCTGCACGCAATGTCAACCCCAAAMCTCCAGTTACAGAAGTAAGTGCCCCCGTAACTGCTAGTTTCAAAAAATATATTCAGATCTTCGTCAAAATTAAGTGCATTTTCTGTTTCACACTTGTACAAATTAACCACCCCGTGTATTTTGGTGTAATTAACTCCACTGATTGACACTCGATTTTAAACTTTAGTGTCCACCAGCTTGTAAAGACGCTGTTGAAAAGTTGACCGCACGACCTTTTCCGCTGTGGGCTCTCAATTTGCTGATGTGGTTACTTTTCCTGAGCTTCACACACAACACACACACACACACACACACACACACACACACACACACACACACACTGACGAGTACAAAGAAGTCTGTTTTCTCCCTTTCTGGCTCCTCTCTTCTCAGCTGGCAAATGCTAATGGCCCCGATGAAAGACACTGGGGTTTGGTGGATTAAAATTTAAAATAAACACGAAGAGATAGATATTTAAAAAAAAAACATCTATCCTAAACTCAGATTTAAGATTTTAGTTTAATCCAGTAGATTCTTACCACAAATCCTGGTACTTATTGTTAAATCCTCAGTCAAGGCTGTGATGGATGTAAAGCTGATGTAATGTCAAATCTGATTAGGCTTTTCTGTTTTTTATTCACATTTTAATATATTCATCCTATCGATGAATCTGAGTCTGTTTTGAGCATCCCAGACTAAACTCGTGTTATAATTAGAGTGCATTTTTGGCTCGAAGTTAATTAGTAAATTAAGCCACAAGGCTAAATCTTCACAAATTTCTCACTAAATCTGAATTGGGATGGAGGTGGGTTAGTGTGTGCAGGGAGAGGCAGATTTGGCGATCGCTGATCTGATTAGGGTTAAGAAGGGGTTTCCCTGCTGGACATAAGTAGATTATGATCCTCCCGGGTCTCCTCCTCCACTCTGCTGCAGCTCAGCACAGACATATGGACTAAAAGACTGCGTGACGTAGCACAGGAGAGAAAACGTCTTCAGAGATGGATGTGAGGCGCTGATGGAGGGATTCAGTAAACAACTCGGAGGAAGTTTTTTTTTTTTAATCTTTTTCTGATTCTACATTTTTTTATTTTGTGACTTGAACATTAAATTTCTTTTTTTGGTTTTCCCTCTGCGTTCATTTGCATTTTTATTTATCTTTTGTTTACCTACTGGTTACAATGTTGAGTACGTACTACTGTTGGCGTCCTGTGTATGACGGATATGAATGTCTGCAGCTTTTGGAGCAGAACGGAGGTTTTGGCAACAATGGAGCTCAGCCTCCCATGCAGGTCCACAGCGTACAGAACAATGCAGGTAAGAATGTGTTTGTATGGAAACGTATGCATGGGGACAATGCAGTGGTTATGTTTCTATAAAGTTTACCTTTCAAAAATTACATTTTGGTTTRGCATTAGTTCCATTTTGATTAAATGTAAGGCTGAGGGTTTGATCTTTTAGTTCTAAGCAACAGTAGATTAAACCAGCAATGGTTGACTGGAAGGAAGTGATGTAAAAATATATTTTTAGTAGTTTATTTGTAAATTTATCAAAATTAACTTAACAAGCTTACTGTTTTTTCCCCAAACACACACACACACACACACACACACACACACACNCACACACACACACACACACACACACACACACACACACACACATGCAAGCCTCTTCATTCCTATTAAGAGGATTTCTGCACCGCCACTCCATCTGTTGAACAGCAGAGTGTTTGCTCTCTCCCCTGCAGACTGGATCTAACTGCATATTATTACAACCCATCAGGCAGATTCAGCAGAGCAGGAAGCAGCTGATTTTATTTCATGCAATTTCTGAAAGTTCATGCATTTGACTCGCTTCGATGAACCACTTAGCGATGAGAAGGGTTTGTTTTATGAGAGCATCTGAAAATTGTGTTGTTTTTTTCTTCACGTTGCCCAGGTGTGTATGATCCTGATCAGGCAGGCAGCGGCTTCTTGGATATCTTGAGGGGAGGAACAGAGCGCTTCCTGACCAACATCAAGGATACATCCTCGAAAGTCATCCAGTCTGTAGCCAGGTAAGACTGGATCTAAATAAGTATCCAGTTGTATTTGGAATGCATCATGTTTAGTTATTTATCATTATAGCATTTTTCTCACGTGGCTTTACGTGGGGTTGAGGTTATAAAATTATTTGCCTGATTTACTGTAACTAAATGTGTTTATATTGCTCYACTGTACATTTGCGGATCAAAGCAATATTTTTTTCTAAAAGCGCTGTCAGTTGTCATTTCATTTCAGCACAATAACTTAAACCTCAGTAGCTAATTTATTTTATTTTATTTATTTATTTTTTGCATTTGTTAATTATAAACATAACCACTCCATCTCCAGCCCCTCATTTCACTTTAAAGGAACATTTTGTAGTTTTTTCACTCTAATTCTCAACAGATTTCTACAACTGGTATAAATATAAGTTTCAGTAATATGAGATCTAGTTTGGAGCAGCAGGCTGTGATTCTAGGTAAAACAGATGGTTAAAGATAAGCAAAGTGTTCCTTTAACAAACTCTACACCCTTTTTTGTTACAGTTTTAATATTTTATTTAGTTTTTATCATCAGTTTGCTCCATTTGTTTTGTTGTTTATTTTTTGTTGTCTTCTCTCTGTCCCGATCCTTCATGGTCCCACTCTGTGTACATCACCTAGCAGCCCGAGGTAATTATGGGTCGGTGACATTTGTCAGCTCATGCGTTGCTGTGTGTTTTTGTAGCATGTGTTTGATTTAGAGGGAGAAGCGTGTACTAAAGCTTTTTTTTTTTTTTGTSGTGCTGTGTCCGTCATCACAGCTTGATGATCCTAACATCCCACACTCGATAATTCAGCTGGATGAGTGCTGAGCGGGCTGTGAATGTGCAGCTGTGAAATTATTTAATGACATCAAAAAAATCAAATTCACCAAATATATACATCTTACATTTCTGTTAACCTTTTTGATATTTCGAATAAATCTAACCATCCCAGTCTCTTTACCATTCACCTTATGACAAACTTTAAACACAGTTAATTGGTTTTAAATAAGTTATTTTGTTCATAAAGGTGGGATCTTAGTGGGCAATGGCAGCAGGAGGGTTTGTCTGTTTCATCAACATTGCATTTATTAGTTTTTCTTACTTCTGAGTTTGTTTTTATTAGGGATGCACGATATATCGGTACTGATATCGGTATCGGACGATATTGACAATTTTTTAGAATATCATATCGGTCCAATTTGTAAAACTGGGCCGATATTAACGTCCGATATTGATTTCCCACTTTTTCGCTTTGTATTTCTGTTTTGAGAGGGGAAATGTTTGGTTGAGAGGCATCTGTTTGATCATAATAGTGATATTGATGCTGCACAGCCAGGAATAACTGAAGTAGGGAGCCATGTCAGAGGTTTGGTCAATTATTTACGTATCAAAAAAAAAAAACCCCAAGTGTGTTTGTGTGTATATGTATAATATAATTTGTGTGTTTGTGTAATATCGGTAAATATTGGTTATCGGCCATAACAGCAATAATTATATCTGATATATCAATATCTGTTGAAATTTCCATATCGGTGCATCCCTAGTTTTTATGAACTGAACAAACTATAAACTGACCCAACATGTCTACATACTGTTGTTTTATTAAGAAAAGATGTTATGGCATGTTTAAATACGATGAAGTTACTTTTTGAATCCAACATTGTTATTCAGTCCACTGTATGAATGATTGATTTATGATTGAGTGAATGAATTCACTATAATTAAAAGTGTCATCGCTCATTAAATATCCATTATGCCTTCATCTGTGTTTAACCAGCATCACCCGTCATTAATTTTGCTGTCATTAGCATAGATGGCTCTCTCTTTTTAATTTTTTTTGGCTTTCTCTGCTAAATTAATAAAGAATGCTATGTTTTTTCTTGTTGTGATGTACCACTGTGTGTTCTTGCCATAATATTTGCTGTGAGGCTTTAAATTATAGTGAATTTAAAGCCTGACTGGTTATTTAGCTACCAATATTTCCTGATGCAAATAAATTGTTTGCAGAAATGAAGCTTTTGCAAAGTGCTTGTGGTGGACTTAAGGTGCAATAGAAAGATGAAGAGGTGGAAATGGTAATTTASTTTGCACAATTTGGAGGATGGCACTTAAAAACAGGGTGGCATTAAAATATCGCAAGATAAGCATTTTGTTTTGTGTGTTCCAATCACCCATGTCATTAGATTTTTGCTTTCTCTTAGGTGGAAGTTACGCAGTTTTATTTTATTTTACTTTAATCATTGCTGACTTGTTTTAGTCCTCAATGTGTTTTGCATCTTCTCTAATTGCATTTGTAATTTGTTTTCTTTAGCTATGCCAAAGGCGACCTGGATATTTCCTACATCACCTCCAGAATAGCAGGTAGAAGTCTTTTCTTTTTATGAACATTAATGTATATCTTTTATTTTATCAGTAGTGAACTCAGTAAAAGTCTATTTCAAATGAAAGCTATGAGCAAGAGAAACACATGATCGAACGTGTGTGTTTTTGTGTGTAGTCATGTCTTTCCCAGCAGAAGGGGTGGAGTCAGCCATAAAGAACAACATCGAGGACGTTCGTCTGTTTCTGGACTCGCGTCATGCTGGCCACTACGCTGTATACAACCTCTCGAAGCGGTCTTACAGGCCTTCTCGATTTCACAACAGGGTAAGGAARGTGTATTTGGGTGTGCACACTGTGGGTTTTGTTATTACTGTCTGGTAGTGGTTATAATAATGTGTTCCTCTGCATTTTAGCCTTTGTCTTTTGCTATTTAAAAAAACAAAGCAGCTGTTATTGTGTCACGAACAATCAGGTGTGTATCTTTCAGGTTTCAGAGTGTAACTGGCAGGTGCGGCGCGCCCCCAACCTCCGCAGTCTCTACAATGTTTGTAAAAACATGCATCAGTGGCTCAAACAGGACCAGAGGAACATCTGTATAGTACACTGCCTGGTAAGTAAGCTGTGGGATAAAGACCCAAATAAACCAGTCACAGTTTCTACTCTCTGCAGTGTTGTAATATTCAGTAACATTACTGGGGAGGCAAATGTTGGGCAGTGTGTGCACACTCACATAATGTATTTAGAACAATAAATGTTCAGAATAAATAAAATGAATTAAAGTTAAAAGTGCCTGTGACATCAATTTTTGGAAATAAACGTGAATGCATTTTTGGAAAGATAATGATAACATATTGCAAAACAAATTTCACGTTAAGATGAACAGTGGTTGAGATATTTGCATGTGAAGAAACAGGAAGTGATGTCAAAGGGAATGTCAGCATGTAAACAGAGCGTTGCAACAACAGCTACAACACAGACTGTAGAGACGAATCTGATGTTTATTTATATTATTTTAGTTGCTATCAAAGAGAGACAAAGAAGAATTAAAGTTTAAATAATTTTGTTTTAATAAACAGACCAGCGAGTTTATAATAATAATGAGGTCCCCTTTGATGTCACTTCCTGTTTCACTTTGGCTGAGCCAAATTTAAAAGAAAATAGGCCAGTTATGTGACAAAATGGGTAAAATCGTTTGTACGATGTCAATTTTCTTAAATATAAAGATGCTTTCTTTGACTTTTTGTATTTGAAGGACAGTCTTGTCACTTTAAATCTACAAATTGAACTTTTCCTCTGCAGGACGGTCGAGCAGCATCCGCGGTGGCAGTGTGTTCTTTCCTGTGTTTCTGTCGTCTTTTCACCACAGCTGAGGCTGCCGTCTACATGTTCTCCATGAAACGCTGTCCTCCTGGCATAGCACCTTCACACAAAAGGTAATAAACAGTCTTAAAAAACAAAACAGCTTCTTTTTGGGATTGATCAAAGTTAGGAAATCTCCGTTCTGTTGCGTCACAAAATATGGCTCTGATCCTATCGAGTGTTTCAACTTTGCCTACAGATATATAGAGTATATGTGCGACATGATGGCAGAGGAGCCCATCGTCCCTCACAGCAAACCTGTGGTTATTCATTCCATCATCATGACACCTGTGCCGCTGTTCAATAAGCAGCGTAACGGGTGCCGGCCGTTCTGTGAAGTTTACGTTGGAGACGAGCGAGTCCTCACCACTTCACAGGAGTATGACAGGATGAAGTGAGTTTAAGCTGTCAGCGTTTGTCTTATTTAGCCAGTCAGAAACATTTCTCTTCCATTCAGTCATTTTGAGTCTCTCTCTTTTTTTTTTTTTTTTTTTTTTTTACTTCAGGGATTTTAAGATGGAAGACGGCAGAGCAGAGATTCCCCTCAATGTTACAGTCCAAGGAGATGTCCTGGTGGTGATCTATCACGCACGATCGACACTGGGTGGGCGTCTGCAGGCYAAGGTACAAACACAATCAACAAAATTAAATTAGAAATACTGTTATTATGTTGRATTGCTTTGTTTTGATATCTGATATAGAAAGTAGAAACTTGTCAMTCTGTTGCAGAATTTTGAAGATAAATCAAAGCAATCCTTGTTGTTGTTTGTTTMTTTTTTTTTCATTTCTTTTTTAGATGGCATCTATGAAAATGTTTCAGATCCAGTTTCACACAGGTTTTGTGCCCAGAAACGCAACAACTGTCAAGTTTGCCAAGTATGTATTTTGTCTCAAGCTAACAATATATATGTATAGTATATGTATGTATGCATGTATATATATCATATATTTCATTATGCTATATCATTCTGACTTTTTATTATATAAGTCAACTATTTTGTGCTTCTTTAAGCTTCTTTCAGCTGTTTCCTGCTGTTTTCAGCTATTTTTGTGTTTTTAGCTACTTTCTAGCTAATGCAAATTTTATATATACTGTATATATACAGTATATGGATGTGTGCCTTTTTTGTACATGTATAAATATGCATAAATTTTTATTATTCTTTTATTTGTTAAATGGGGCAGATATTTTACAATTTTTTTTCTTCTGCTTCTTTTCATTTTACGAGATTTGTGTTTTATTTTATTTTTTATTTTTGTTGTATTGAAATTTTTGTTTTTAATCGAAAATGAATAAACTTTTAAACTAAACAATTGTTGCAAACCTGATCATTCATGCAGTCACTGAGTGCTACTAACTTGTCTTGAACTTGTCACATTTATACCAGGGCTAAGATTATTTATTTTAGTATTTGTACTGTATTTGTCTGTCTTCTCTGCTCTCAGGTATGACTTGGACGCCTGCGACATCCAGGAGAAATATCCAGACTTGTTCCAGGTGAATTTGGATATTGAGGTGGAACCCAGAGACAGACCCAGCACCAGGAATCCTCCATGGGAGGGCTTTCAAACCAAGGGCCTCAATCCTAAAATACTCTTCTCGTCTCGCGATGAACAGCAGGAGATCCTCAGTAAATTTGGTATGTGTCTGTATGTTGCAGGTCATAGGTTTGATCCTGTTTGATTTGCTTATTTTTAGTCTGTTTATTTTTTCACAAGACCAAGCTAATTGTCCGTTATGAACTGAACATGTAATCACTGCAGGTAAACCCGAGTTGCCTCGTCAGCCTGGTTCCTCTGCTTTTTACGAATCGGAGACCACTACACCYGGTCAGACCCCAGAGGGCTTCAACGCAACAGAACCAGAATCTCCTGTGAGCAATGATGCCAGTGCCAGCAACTTTTTCCAGACACTTGATTGGGAAGGCAAGTTTTTTTTATTTTTTATTTTTTTGCATTACTATTCTTTGGTATAATTATTTTAGTTTTTGATTCCCAAAAAGTAAAACGTAAACCATGCAGTACTCTTAATCCTTTTTCATTTCCCAGACTCTTCAGTGACTGTTGAATGATAAAATAACTTTGATTTTTTTTGTGTGTGTGTGTGTTTTTGTGTATTTATAGATCACCAGAACTTTCCCGATGCTTCAGACAGCCAAGGAGGAGGATCTCTGAACGATCAGGAGGACATGAGTGATCAGTCAGAGGGGGAGTCGTTCTCTGCCCCCAGTATGGAAGCTCTATCACGTGACCACAGCGAGCAGCTGTTTGATGCTGATTTCCAGGTGCAGAAAATCTTGTTGACTTAGTATGAAATCTGCACTTTTAATGTTCATTTTGTCAATGCTGTGAAATAGAACCAGAATGCACCCTTTTTTATTTATTTATTTATTTACAGACTTCTCCCCCTGCACCTCAAGAATCTTCTCGTAGTGACACAGCTGACCTCTTGGGCTTGAATTCAGACCCCCATCCCTCTGCCATCTCCTCCCAAGTTCCCAGTCAAGGCGAACAGGGAGGACTGAAAGCTGCTTCCAGCAACAGCGATCTCCTCAATGACCTGTTTTCGCCTCCTGCTGGTCAGACAGGGGCAGTGCAGGAAGATTTGTTCTTTAGTGAGGCAACCAGTGGAGCCACGCCGGACTCAAAACGTAATAATAAAAACATTTTATAGGTGCTGAATGCGTTAGTATAAAAACTTACTTTTTGATCTTCATTTTTTTTTTTCCCTCTTTCGTTTTGTTTGTGCTTCAGCTACGAGCGATCTGTTTGATCCATTCGGGATGGGGTCCGGCTCTGGTGTTGGCTCCAGCGTCGGTTCATCTCGACAAGCCTCTGGACCGGATCTGTTTGGAGATTTGTTGGGCTCTGGTAGTTCAGCAACCAGCGGGTTTAGCTCGGCTCACAGTAACGCTACCCCTGCTTCCAACACCAGCCTCTTCAACCTCAGTGAGTCCAATTTTTTTTTCTTTTCTTTTATTAATCCCTGCAGTTAGAGTTAGAGTGCTTCAACACAACTTACATAAACACCTCTTAAATCACTGCAGTGTCTTAAGAAACCGGGACTGATTTGGTGATATTTTACATGTTGTTCTTGGCAGATAAGKTTGCTAAAGATACCCCTAAGATGACGTCATCGGCCAGTCAGCCAGATTTGCTCGGTGGATGGGACAGCTGGGCAGCTCACACCACTGCTGGAGTCAGCACCACCACCAACAAACCCAGTTATACAAACACAGGTGGGTGAAGGATGCTTGTGTGAATCCTTATAAAGCATTTACTGTTGAGATGGTCCGTTTTTCTTCGTACATTTTTCAGCACTTATTTGGTTCCACAGTTTTTGTGCCGTTTCAGCTGTTTTATGTACTGGTATCAAAACGTTCAGCTCCTTTGGGACATTTCAGCTAAGATTTTTGATATTTTAGCAACTTATATTGTTGCGATATTTAGCCTTTTCTGCCATTTTGTTTCTCATTTAAAATAATTAGAACTGTTTGCAACATGTTTAAAATCTTTCAAAATGTCCATAAATCTTTACTGTATTTTTTACCTTTTGTTATGTTTCTGCTTTTTTAACTTCTTTGTGCTYATTTTAGCTTCTTTCATCTTATTTTTGTTGATTTAGAGTCCATCTCCTTTTATGCTATTCTCTTAATTTATATATTGTTCATGCTTCTACCAACATCTTCCAGCAAATTTAGGCTTTTTTATCTTTCAACTGTTTTTCTGCAATTTTAGCTACTTTCAGCAAAATTTATATTTTTTTCAACTAAATTCACTTTTTTGTGATCATTTCAGCTACTTACTGCTTTATTTAGCAAACATCTTCTTTCTGCTTCTTCATGCTAGATTCAGCTATTTTTGGATACTTTTTAGCTACTTCTCTGCTAATTTAAGCTTTTTTTGGCTATTTTACAAAAACAATTGCAATTTTTCATACAACTTTCTTATTTTTACAGCAAAAATCTTTCTGCATAACATTCACTCTGCTCCTTTGCAGGAACACTTACATATAAGGATTGTTTGAGTATAAATGAAGTTTTATTGGCGATCTCGACTATTTAAGTAACCTTTGAACTCTCATGTCGTCACTGTTTGTAGCTTCTGGTGGGTCATCCATGTCAAAGGCCAAGTCTCAGACCTTTGATCCTTTTGCAGACCTTGGAAATCTGGGTMCTAATTTACCAGGTAAAGATAGGAAATTACCTGTTGTTTACAAAAAGAAAAATGCTCATTTTGATGGACTAAATTAAMCATCATGTTCTAATATTTTCTTGCAGGTTCATCCAGCGGTAATATATCTGGGCCTTCTTTTAGCACAAAGGCTCCATCTTCCTCCTCGTCCTCCTCCTCTAAGCCTCAGGCCCAGGCCTGGCAGTCTGGAAATCCCAACTCTGCCCAGAACAAACCTTGGATGTCAGGATCTGGACCAACACCCAAAGGACCCTCAGCACCTCAGCCTGCTGCRGCACAGACCACCAAACCCAACTACAACCTCAATTTCTCCAGCGTCATCGGTGGGAGAGAGGAAAGAGGAGTCCGTGGGCCTGGATTTGGTGAGACGAGCTCTGTTTGAGTTTTATGTTGTTTTCTCCTTAGTGTTACAGATATTACAGACTTGTTTACATATCAATGGTAGACTTTAATTCATCTTTCCTTTTTTTAACACAGGCCCCAAACCGAAGGTTAAAGAGGATGATTTTGAGGACCTGCTGTCCACTCAGGGTTTTGCTTCCAGGCCTGATAGAAAYGGACCCAGGACCATTGCTGAAATGAGGAAACAGGAGATTTCAAAAGACACGGATCCTCTTAAATTACAGGTAACACTCTAAACCACATTTGTCAAACACAAGGCAACATTTGGCTCGCGAGTGACTCCCGTGTGGCCCGCTAGGGTTTTTTTTTTTTTTACTTAACATGAAATTTGTTTCTTATATTAATGGTAAACTTTAAATTTATGGTTAAATGCAACAAAATTAATTGAATAAAAATAAATTAAATAAAAATAAATTTAAAAATTCCTGTCCCTGAGCTGTTGGCTTGAAGTAACTGAGCACTTTAGTTGGATAGTACAGTACTAATGTCTGAAAATAAGCTGCTTTAAAGTCACCAAACATAAACTAAATCTGCCATAATGCTGCTACTCACTCGAAACTTATCAGTGAGTAAAACTTTTTTGTTTTACTTTTAGTAATATTTCTGTATTTATTTCAGATTTAGTCAGTCATACACTTAGTTCTTATCAGTGTTTAAAAGAGGACATGTTAAAACTGTTTAGTCAAAGTTAAACATGAAACATTAAAGTTCATGACAAGTGGCCCTTCGAGGGCCACCATAACGCTCATGTGGCCCTCGGTGAAAATGAGTTTGACACCCCTGCTCTAAACACACATTAGACATAATGCTCAAAACATTCAGTGTGTGTTCTTGGAAAAAGAAAAAGAAATTCACAGATCATAAAGTGACCTTGCTTAGATATAATGCCAGTTCTTCCCTTTTCAGGTGACTGTTTTGGCAGGTAGCCAAACTGGCTMATGCTTGTGGCTTTGCTCGTGCTAAAATATTGACCTTTTTTTTTTTTCTTCTGCCAGATTTTAGAATGGATCGAGGGTAAGGAGCGGAACATCAGAGCGCTGCTGTCGACTCTGCACACCGTCCTGTGGGAGGGCGAGACCCGCTGGAGGTCCGTGAACATGGCCGACCTCGTCACACCTGATCAGGTCAAGAGATACTACAGAAAGGCCGTGCTGGTCGTCCATCCAGACAAGGTACGGGATCAGCTGTCGTGTTTAAAACCAGATGAAACCTTTTGGAGAGAAACGCTTCATCTTCAATGTTCTGTTCCTGTTTGCAGGCGACAGGTCAGCCGTATGAACAGTACGCTAAGATGATCTTCATGGAGTTAAACGACGCCTGGTCCGAATTTGAGAACCAGGGATCCAAAGCACTCTTCTAAAATCCTGGCCTGGACCAAACCCAAACCAGACCCAAATGGACTGGATTTGGCCTGACCAAATAAGGGTTACCCTGGGCCAGATTGGACAGGACTGAGCCCACATTGGGCTATTAAGGGCACAGAACCTCTGAGAGGTGTCCTCTCGACTATTCCTTTGTTCCTCCTTTACCTTCTGTTTCTACAGCAAAACAAAAGAAGAAGAAGAAGAAAAGCTCTTTGCCTCACGCCTGGCTCAGATGAAAATATCCTCACTGGTTCTTAAATAACCAGTTTAATAAACGATTGTTCTTAAACTCACTGCCTACCTGTGCGACTGCCTGAGTGGTGCTGCAAWCATCAGGAGGGAGTAATGGGTGATGATCACACTGAATAAATGAACCGAAAATAAAAAAACAACAAAAAAAAAACCCTAAATTATCAGGTTAATACCCGAATTGGATGCAGATCAGGTTTAGTAGCAGCAAGTTTTTCATTTGTGTGTTGCATGTTTGGAACCAGTCAGTCACAGTTTACAGGTAAATTCACTTGGACTGGCTCAGACAGCTGATTGAAAGCTTGCAGAATACCATTTGAGATTTTTGGACTTAATAGCATCAAATAAAAGAAACACAAATATCTGTATGGGGAAATAAAAAAATTTAAAGACTGTTTGTAAAAGATAAATATCAAAGTTCTACTGCTGCACATTTTCAGGTCACCACTCAGTTGCTCCTGAGCCGTTTCCTCTCTGCAGCATCACTACTGAACATTACTGCTGCTTTTTCCCTTCAGTTTCTGCTGCACACTCCTCAGATCAAAGTAATCCCCCAAACCTGTTTTGGAGCTCCCAATAAATCCAATCAGGCAGTGTTTTTTTTTTTTTTTTTTTTTTTTTTTTTTTTTTTTTTTTTTTTTGAAGTGCTCTTCAATCTACACTGTGTCGCTCACTGCATGCTCTTCTGCACCAAACCTCTAAACAACAAGTGAATGTTTTTCATTTTAAACCAGAGACGTCCAGTCAGCAGTGGGCCTTTTATTGAAGTGCTCTTGTTTTTTTTTTTTCTGTTCTTTTCTTGTAGCAGGAACAGTAAAGAGGCTGCTTGTTTGGTTATACTGGATGGTAAACTTCACTTTTAAGCATCTCCGTCATCAGCGTTATAAATCCCATTCTGTCTTTCATTTCCTGCCGCCTCCAGTTCAGTTTAATGTGAGGATTCCATCTGGGTTTTCATGGTTTTACATGTTTTTTTTTGTTGTTTTCTCACAATACAATATGTTATGAGCTTCAACATCACTTCAGTGTAAATATAAAAAATATATATATCATGATCCATCAAGTGGCTTGGTAAAAACTTAKGTCTGGTTTTATTTTGACATTAAGCCTCAGACTGGTTGTGTGAATGCGACTGTGTGTGTGTGTAAAGATGTTTCATAGACAATGCAACTTTATTGAGCATCATCTTGCTTGCAATCACAATTGTTCATTCTTTTATTTTTAAGTTTCTCACTTTCATAATGTGTTGTCTCATTCAAAATCCTTCCAACTTTTTTTTCTTTACATTCACATCTTACCTCATGGACCAATCAAATTGCTTGTTCCTATTTATTCTAATGTTTTATGGAAGAGTTGAGGGTTTGTGATATATTCTTACACACTGATGGCACAAGTTGAAAGAAAATCATATAATATATAGACAGAATGTGTTGACTGGTTGATCACAGTGAGCTTTTTGTTGCTGTTTTCATTCCAAAGCATCAAATGTTAAGAATGTGCTTTTATAGTAATATATCCTGTCTGTTGTTGCTGTGTTACTCAGTCATTTGGGTATTCAGTTGTTTTATGTCTAACTTTACTTTTTCCCTTTGTAAGGCAGAAGTGAAGATGTTTCCGTTTCGTTTTCTGACATTTTGTAAAAAATAAAACCGGGGGGCAGCAAACCTAAAAACACGAATTGATGCTTGAAATTCCATTTTAATTCTTTTTGACAGTGTAATAGTGTGAAGACCACTCATCGACAGTGTTTACTGTACCTGATTTGATCATACTAATATGAATGTAAATTAAATGTAAAAAAATAAATAAATCTTTTGATCTGAGGAAAATATTTTTGATTTGAATTTGAAAGGCTTTACTTTGACAACCTTTTTATTAAAGGGAACATATGCAACATCCACTGTTAGTGGTTAAACTCATTTTGTTGTGTACTACGTTTGGATTTAAAGAGACAGCATCAAAACAAGTTGATCTGAGACTCACCTCAGAAACTGTAAAAAAGAGGGGCTTGTGGAGTTACAATAAGGAGGAGGTCTGACCCCATTTAGACACCAATTGGATGTTATAACTGTGAAAAAGAAGAACTTAAAGCACGGTATGTCTCCTTTAATGGTATAAGCTTTAACCTGTGCTTTGGTTTAAAACGAGCTCCTTTGCAGACGCAGATGAATTAGTTTGTGCTTTTTAATTTAAAATAAAAACCCCTCAAAGGCCACTGAAATAATCTGAAACTTTTTATTTATTTATCGTTATTTAACCAGGCACATCCTAGCCTGGTCCTTGCCTTCCTACGCAGCTCAGCTCAATTCTAGTTTCCCTTCA